TAATGTTTAATTAAAAAAACCTTTCTAATAACCAACCTTGTTTAATATATTTGACACCTATGCACTAAAACAAAATACAATATCTGTAAGCAAAAAAAAAAAATATAAGTATTTATCATGTTAGTATAGTCAAGAAAAGAAACACCAGTATAGTATAACACTACTTCTGTTCAACATAAATTTTCTTATTAAAAAACAATTACTACATTTACTTTATATTAGTTTTCTTTTTTAAAAACTAGTATTTTTGATCTATTTTTTCTTTATATGCATATGCATATACATTATATATACTATACTTTCATATTGCTAGTATGACTATCATGTTTCATACAACTTATATTTTGTGTAACTAATTATTTAGTACTATGGTTACATGTAGTTATAAGCTACAATTATATTATTTTATATTTTAATTATATTTTAAGGATTTTATAATTTATTGTATGTGCAATATATTACACCCTTTCTGTTATTTAAAAATTGTCTATAAAATCACTTGAAATACTAAAAAAAAATTTTCTGTAAAATTTTGATATACTCTATGCCTTTGCCTTATCTTAAACCTTAACACTAACCCTAATATTAATAAAATTTTATTTTTTGCTTTGATAAAAATTTTTTGTTACACAAAATTGATGATCTTTATAGTAAAATAGGAGTACAATAAATTATAAAATCCATATTTAGAGGTGTGATGACCTAGTGAAATGGTCAGGTTGTCAATCTTCCAAGTGGTAGGTTGAGTATTCAAATCTCATCGACAATGAAAATTTGAATAATCACCTATGTAATATTTATATTATGACAACTGTTACTAATGATTAGGTTAGAATACCTGTAATAATGGTCGCATCAGTATGACTGACAGGTCATAAGGCATTTGTGCAATATTGGAGTTACACAAAAGAATGCAAACTGACATATCAGGCAGTGCAAACACTAGATAAATCCTTGTAACTATATAAATATGTTGAAATTGTGTAACAAAAAGTCTATTTGGAAAGACCCAAGTAAAGAGATAGCTGGATCTTCAATGATCTTACTGTAAAAGTTAGCTCAATGAAACAGATACCAAGGTCTAGTATCCAGTTCTAGTAGCCAGACAGACAAGAACCTCTAAGTTGGGAGTCTCGAAAGTATCACCAACTAGGCTGCTGAAACAAACTAGAAAAAAAGAATATTGGACTAACTTGATATACTGATAGACTGGTCATAGTCCTACATGGGCTATCTAAATTGGAAGTTTGGTAAAAAAACAGGAAAAAAGGCAGAAGTATACTAAAGTATCAGAATTATGTTATAAAATAGATGCTAAGATCTAAGTGAACTTTACAAAAACATAACAGTTTAATAGTTAATCCTAATCACAAATGTTAATTCTACCATAGCAATACTTAAATCAACTGTAAAAATGAATACAGAAGGCTCTAAAAAGTTTACCTCAAGGATAAATTAGTCCTAAGGTTAAGAATAATAATCTAAACATCTAAGATGACTAGTAATGTTAACACAGATTACAGGTTCAAAGGATTTAAAGTAGAACACCTAAGCAGGGGTATTAGATACAACAATTGATGAAGAACCTTCAGGCAAACTCCTTAAATAGGTAATATAGAAAAATTACACATATAACCAATTGTATGCTCTCCTGTAGTGGTTCATTAAACCACAATACCAATAAGTGATTAATAAAAATCAAAAGACCAAAAAGATCACCTTAATAAAATAAAAAAAAAAATCCATATTTTAATTATATTTAATTATATTTTAATTATATTTAATTATATTTTAATTATATTTAATTATATTTTAATTATATTTTTAATATATAATAATTATATAATAAATATATTTAGCAAAATTAAAAGTTTCTGCAAAGTACTTAACATTAAAAAAAAATTTTTTTAATTAAATAAGCAACCAGAAGTTGCACATATGACTAGTTGTATCAATAAATTACTACTACAAAATATAACCTTTAATAATAATATAAAAAAAGAAATAAAATTTGGTTCTTTTAAAAAATTTTTTTTTCTTATACTCTTCATATATTATAATTTTTGTTTTTTTTACTATTACTGCACCGATCTTTACGTTAACTATTTTTTGATCTAAAATATAATCTGGTAACATTTTTCAAATATAAGTTCTCTTACATTTCAAACTATAAATCCCAAACTACTATAGTTGGATTTGTCTACAACAAATCCCAAACTTCGGCTAAACTAATATTTTAAAAACTTTACGTATTAATAATTTTTGATTAAACAAATGATACATATATGTTCTTATTGTCTGTAGGACATTCAATAGATAAGTAAGTACCTTGGATTCCACTCACGTGATTATACACCAATCATCGAACGACCCTAGCGTCGCCTGCAAAAAATGGTAGCCGGATAGATCTGCCAGTTACATGTGATTATATGATTCGGATTTGATTATGGATAATTCAATTTCAACTGCCTAACCAAAAATATATTGTTAGCATTAGCAGTTAGCATATTTATGAATCTCTTTATTATTGCTATCGAACAATAAATATGATCTCTAAATTTTTAAACGAATTCAATTCAAATTATTTTTTTACATTTTTTTTATTTTTTTATTATGTTGAACCAATATGTGAATGATGTGTTTTACTTAATTTTACAAAAAGTACTAGTCAATAATTCAAAGGTCATAATGAATTCAAATTACCAAAAAATGTTTATAATAATAATGCTAAAATAAATTAGTATATTTATTTTATTATTAACTATTACTTTAAAAGTATTTAAACTTTAGATATATAAAGTTTTTTTTACATTATAAAATTTTAAAACTTTGAAAAAATAAAATATGATTGCAAATATTAATTACATATTATAAAAAGTTATTATTCCCAATACAACATATTTTTATTAAAACCTTTCCAGGTTCTAGGCATTGTTATGTGATTATTCAATGCCATAATATCATCATTCATTTTTTCTAGTGGTTTAAAATTTGAGCAAACATTTCTTAACCATAAATACCCTTTAGGCTTGTTGCATGATTCTTCTAAAAGTTCTTTAGTCTTAAAGATAATTAGAACTTAATATAAATTTAAATACATTCATAGAGACTTAAATACAAATATATACCTTGTTCAATACTCTGTTTAAATAAGCAATCTCAATTTCATAATTACATTGTTCATCATTAATACTATCATCTTTATTTTTATTAGTTGATTCTTGAATTATTTGAATATTTGAAAGTTTATAGTTTGAAAATTTATATGATTTGTAATTTGAACTTTCTTGATAAAACATGTTTACCAATTCACCTTCATAGATTGAAATTAATGAATATGTTCTATTTCTTTGTATCTAAATAAAAATACTGTTAATGTCAGATTTTAATATTAAGACATATAAAGTTTTTATTATTACCTTTTTAAAAAACATTGAATCAGGTTTTTCTACAGAATTAACCAAATATTTATACAAAAAAAACCTGCTTTGAATATATGCAGGACATGCACATATCCATTTGACTGGATCTATAAAATACTTGTTATTATTATTAATTTATGTAATTTTATTTTCATGCTTTTTCCATTCTTGTTTAAACTCTTTATATCATGATACCAACTTACAATTTTCTCCAAGTATGTGAATTTGATATAATTGTCAAGTAATAACTTTCTTTATAAGAATATAGCACAAATGATCAATTCATAGTTTATAAAACTTATATAAATAATCATATTTAATTTGATACCAATAAGATTCAACAGTCATTATTATTTTAATATGAATGATTTTTTCATCAGCTAATCGAGACCATAGATTCTATTTTTCTCTAGAATACTATTCTTTCCAAAAATAAATCCATAGTAGAAACAAGTTGTTATCTTTACAAAATTGCATCATCTTACTAACATATTCTCTTCTAATTTTATTGGAATTTGTATTAAAAATACTATTAGGTTTGGGTAACAATATATGATATTTTGAATAATTCTCAACTAATTCAATTATAGATTTTTGTAAACTTAAAGAACATAATGTCTGTGAATTTGAATTATTTATTAATCTCTAATTTGAATCTATAACAGAACATTTTTGATGTGTAATTTTAGGATTATAACTATAATATATATTTGGTTTATTAGAAACTAATTGTTGTTTTACTGCTTGTCATACATGCCAAATGCATAACTGTAAATGAGTTTCAGGCCAAACAGCCTATGCTGTATTAATTTCACTATAATCTTTATCAATAAGTATAAAAGAAAAAGATTGCAAACCATATTCTTTTAGAGCACACATCTATTGAAAAAGAATATTTGTTATATTTTTGTTTTTTCCTACTGAAATCAAAAGATAACTAAAAGGAAATTTAGCATTATTGATTATATCTAAAAATGAATATAGTTCACATGCTTGATTATTAGTATTATAGATTGCATTGATTGCAATTGCATCTAGCTTATTATGAATTAAGCAATTAAATAATGAGGTTAAAAATCTAAGAGTTGGTATAAAAGAATTCAAATTATCTACAATAATCCTTTGATTAAACTCTTTTAATAAGTATTTAGTTGATATTAAAGGATTAGAATCACGAAAATATACTTTGCAAGATTTTATGGATTACTAGTAATAAGTTTGCAGAATGCTAAAGTTTTCATATCCATTAATACAATTATCTTGAACTTGATACCAAATTTCAAAAACACTAGAATTAATATTATCCTAAATAAATTTTTTAATTTCAGATATTATTGAAACATGTCTTGGTTATGAATGCAATATCTTATGAGAATATTCAATTTTAATTAAATTTAGATTAAATAAAATTTCTATGTTAATTAATCCTTTACAATTATATCATTTAAGAAAGATAAAAGTATTCTGTTACTTATTTAATTCAAGATGTTTTGCTTATCGTTTTCTGAGTTCAATCCAGCAATTACAAAAATAAATTAAAAGCAGTAAGTTTTTTTAGAAGCTTTTATCTCGATAAACTTATGAATAACCATCTTCATCAGAAACAAGAAAAACAATGTGATAATCAATTTTGAATTCAATATTTTCTTTTTGTGATTCTTTATCCTCTAAAATAATATTATGCAAAGATAACAATTCAACATGAAACATTAAATCTAATCTTTGATTCTCATATTCATAAAACTCATCGGTATTATCTAATGAAATTAAAGCATTATACATAGTTTTGGTAATGTCCAAATAGTTAATTGTCATATCAGATTGTTCTTTATTATTCTTTGAACATGACAATTTAATCTGATTTTGGCATCATAAACACTTTTTTACTTTGTTTCCCTTTTCTTCAAAAAATCCTCACTATTTCGAGTGATATAATATCCCTTGAAGAAGTTGGTTTGTTTGTCTGACATAATTAAAAAAAAAACCGATTTATAAAAATTTTTTTCTTGATTTAAATTCGCCTCTAATCAAAAAAAATTTTTCAAATAAATATAAAATAAAATAAGTCAAGCAAATATTGTAAAAATTTTGGAACATTTACATTAATTCGCTTTTGCAATAGCAGTAACGATAGTAGAAGAAAATTTTATTTGTTATTATATGGTAACGATAATGAATTTTACAAGGGCACAGACTTTTTTTTGATTTGTAATCAATAGTCATTAATCAAATCCGAATCACAAAATCACATATAACCAGTAAATCTATCCGGCTACCATTTTTTGCGGGCGACGCTAGGGTCGTTCCAATCATCGATTAAAACCATAAACTGCATGTATATTTTGCAATTCAACAGATTATTAATCTAGTACATATACGTACGCTCTGGACACTGTTTACCTAGTTAGTAGCTAAGTATATATAAAATATATTTGCAAAATATCAAGATCGTTTTTTTGATCTAATTTTTTGTAAAGAATAATTATATTTTTTGGGTTCAGCAAGTATACTTTGAACAATCGACAACTAACGTTTTTTTTTCAAGAGCTGCATTCTCTATTCATCAATAAAACCAAGCGATAATAACATTTCAGACAATTATTACAAAAATAGCACAAATGAAACGTATCATCACAGCGCAATATTACCACTTAAGGCAATATTAATTAAGTTTATAGAAAGATGCTTATATAACATGAACTGGAGAAAACACCAATTACACGTACTTACCGAACATTAACGAAAGATAACTCTATTTTACAAAATCTTGGGGAGCACCCTAATGATTTATTTTTAAAATCTTTTTTTTTTTTTTTTAAGAACGTCACGTCTAATATGTACAAATTGTAAAAAGGAACACAAGAGTACAAAACACTAAAAAAATATTACAAGTATCTTTTTTTTTTAAAAAAAAAAAAAAAAGAGAAAGAACAAAAAAACGTAAACCTAGCCAAATAGCAACACGAATCAATCATCTGTCATTTCCTTATCAAAAGGATGAAAAAAACATTAAGAGTCATTAACCAGAGCACATGCACAGGGGGTTGAATTATACAGATTACAAAGAAAAAGGGTTGAATTTGATCGCATTATGAGGTAAGTGAAAAAATCAAGAACTAGGAATTGAAGGCTACGAAACATTGCGTCAAGACGGACACTCTGAAGTTCAAGAGCAAGAAAAAATTATAGATAATGATAAATGGGATAAGACATAGTAGGCAAATAAAAAAAAATCAAACATCACTATCAGATTACGTCCAATATGAAAATACATCACATATGCATGATGAATGTTCATGAGGTTAGTTGCGAATAGTCACGTGCAACCACAAAGATAGTGATTAAAAGATATTGCGAGATTCTTAATAACGATTGTTATATCCACGACTGCTGTAGCCGCCGCCGCCGCCGCCGCGTCCACCACGAGAAGACCGATAATTATTTCCATTATTAAAATTGTTTCCTCCACCATTTCGTGAGGAGGATGAGGATGAACGTTCAGAAGCACGGTCAACTAAAAAAACAATATATGTATAATAGAAACGTTAGTTAAATGGATTAATTTCATATCATTCGAAAATTGATAAATAATATTTACCCTTAATAGTTCGTCCCTCGAATTCTTGTTCATTCAAATTTTGGATAGCGACTTCAGCTTCTTCATTTCTATTAATATAACAGAAGTTTTAGCAATGAAGATGAATAAAACACTGAAATTGAATATAGAGATTTAATATACTTACGATGAATAAGTCACAAAGCCGAAACCACGACTACGACCTTCGATGAACAAACGAACATAATAGTAGATAAAAGGGAGGATAAAGAGGGTGGATGGGAACACAATATATTGAATTATTGGGACATATTACATACACACACACACACACACACTTATAGTATCATTCCTGCTTGACAAGTCACACAACAAACACACAGGGTATGGGGAAAGTGAAGATAGCAGAAAGGTTAGCATCCTTATATCCGCAGTGAGATGGTTCCTAACACAATATGTTTTGGAAGTCTCGCAAAGGTAACAAGGTTGCTCAACAAAGAGAAATAAAATTTAAAAAATACGAGGTTGCAATTTTTTTTCGTTTGCGAATTGTGACTTCAACGTTAAACCTGTGGTCAAAATTAAACTTACGACTTACCAGTGTCACGATCACGAATCACAACGGCATCTTCAACAGTGCCGAATTCTTCAAACCTAGACCTAAGAGAACGGTCATCTGTTCCCCATGCCAAACCACCAACGAACAATTTAACGGACATAACTAATGGAAACGATTTTAGAACAAGTGAAAGTTTTAAAAAAAAAAATCTATGGTGGGAAAATCAGTCTTTTAATATCAAAAAAATGGAAAAACGGGGATAGACCCCATATGCGTTTTCCAACAATCACTCCATTTCACAAACTTTTTTTTTTTTTTTTTCGGCAAAAGTATGTTAAAGTATACAATAGTGACTAATAATGACTGAATTATTTGAAATACAGCATAAAAAGTATTTTAAAATATTTATTAGGATAAATCTATACATCGCACCATGCGATGTGCTTATACATCGCGATCATCGTTACACGATATTTTTTAAAAATAAAAAAATAAGAATATATTTAGTATTCACTAGTGAAATTCACTGCGATAATGTTTTTGATTATTACTATATGATCTATAGAAAATTTTACCTCAAATTTTTAATATTAAACTTTAGGGGCAGTTAAAGTAAAGGTTAGGGGGATTTATAGTGCTGAACATTTTTATTTAATATACCTCCGGTGAGTGTTAAGTTTGGTTAGAGTTAGTATAGAAAATTAATTAGATTTTTATGCACTTATATGTAACATTTCGAGTTGATTATTTTTACTTAAAAACAGAAAAAGGATTGAATATTTTCGCTTAAGTAAATGTTCAGCACAAAATTTTGCATATAGACGCAAAAAAATTTTTACCAAAATTCGTGTAACGATAATCGACAATCGATGTGCAATGAATAAGTTTATCACACCCATGCGACGCATATTTAATTCCTCTTTATTATAACCTTTATTTTATATTTATATATAAATTTACCCCAACAAATGGCGGATTGTGAATTCGTGACCATCTTACATAAACTAAAGGAATTACAAATGCACGTGATCCTTTATACGAACTCAATAACTATTTTATAAATCTATTGCCACATAAGACAATGGGTAAAATTTCCACAAAATCACACATTGTTCAACGAAATCGCGCGTGACACAACTTTGATTAACCTCCGAGTGTACAATGAAATTTAAATGTAAAGCGTAATTCTATTTTTCTTTTTGTAAATGAAAGTTGGCACCTTATCTAATGAATTTAACACAAACAACTTTAGCCAGTCCTCTTATTGGACAAATTTCAAACAAAATATAGGGTACATACATGCATATGTATGTGGGTACGTACGTACCTCACAGGTCTAAAAATGTATCGATATATATATATATATGTAATTGAATTAAATATATAGCTACTGTATAATCACGTGTTTATGTATCTGCAAGTAATACAGGGAGTCGGTTATTTTACTGCCTGGCAACAAAAGCCAAACTTAGACACCTTCAGCCCCATCTTAAATATAAATTTGCATGATATATATCCAAATCAATATATAATGATGCACTTCACGTGTCAACATTGAAAACAAAAAAATTTTTTTTTTTTTTTTTGCATATATCAAGTATTAAATCAATAATATCGATATTATCGATATTGAAAATCACTAAGCAATTTTATCTTAGTACAATCATCTGCATTGCTATGTCATGGTAACAGCCTCTTCGCCTTTGACAGACATTTCAGATATTGGAACTTCAATAAAAAGGAATTTTTTTGCCAAGTATAACGTTGAGACGTGATTTATAATTCTTTGTTGTAGGATAGGTTTTCCAAATTGATCATAATGAATATAACTGATTATAAGTTTGTTGATATTATTAAGGAAAATTAATTATAACAAAATTGTAATCGATTTACATATTATAAAAAGTGTCAGAATATAATTCAACACTTTGTAAATACTATATATTTTTGGTAAAGGATACGGCAAACGCAGTACAACCATACTGTTTCTAGGTAACGAGATCCCTCTAAACATATAATCATCATTGTGTAAATTGAACATCGGAGATATTATAACGTCATCCTTTATACGATTCTAAAAAAAAATGAATAATAAGTATTTAGACATTATTAGATTATAAGATCAAAAAAGTCTAGTGCCAACCTTAATAACTGGGTTCAACACCATCATTACTGATGAATCAGGTGTCACAATAATTATTCGTTGCAGTTGAGCTATGGTTAAAGCGTTCGTCGAGCTACTACAAGGGCAAAGAATATATATTGGCAGATCCTGCTCTAATATATTATGTGCTGTTTCCTAATAGTTTAAATTAAAGTAATTAAATCAAATAATTTTAGTCCTTGTGAAAATCGATCCTGTTAATACCTTAATATGTCCTGCATGTCCGAGCTTGCAGACTTGTCCGCCACCGCAACTCATAAATCTATGGCCAAGAGGACACTCGTACTCAACGCCCAGGTATCCTTTCAAGAATGCATGTTCGCTTTTGTAAATGTCTTTGGTCATGGGCGCTATTGATATGAAAGGTGCCACGGTTTTTTCATTCTCCTTCTTTTGATTATTTTTACCCCCACGCCTATGACGTTTTTCTTTATTTATATCACTAGTATTTAAACATTTTACGTTTGATATTACAGATTGTGTCTCATCTAACTGTATTGGATTTTTTTGAACGTCTCGGATCAATTGAATAAAATCATTTAAATAAAACGCTGATGGTGTAGTCCATTGTTGATTATCTAAACAGTAAATCACATTTAAGATATTAGGACACCCATGAATATCACATAAAAGTAATCATATCACTAATTTAAATAATTATTATAACTCACTTTCATTTCCTAATATAGGCCAAGTAGATCCACTATCATTCTTTATATCATCTCCATTTTTTCCTTTTTGTTTAAATCCTTTTCTTGTAATTTGATTGGCCAATTTGTCTTCTTTCGCTCTAGACTTCTTAGCTTTATTGGTATCGTTACCAACCACATCAATTGTCCATCCATGTGTTTCTTTCACTTTCGTCAATTCTTCTTGAACTTTTTTCGATAAATTCGCCATCAATGAAATTTCCAACGGTAAAAGGAAATTCGCATTTGTGATAAAACCTTCCCACTTATCTAAACCAGAATTAGAACGATAGGTCGAACCAGATCCGACCTGCATAAGAGACCACATTGAAGTAGAAATGGCCGAATTCTCGATAGGTAATACGAGATAGTTATAACCTTCCGAATTACAACAATTTGGAAATTGGAAGAAGGTTATATTGGCATCCTAACGGGATGCGATACAATTTAAACATTTACTCAACAAACAATTCTAACCATTAAACTATTGTTAAATTCGTTACCACTAAACCAAAAGGATCCTCCCTCTCTCGGCAACTTTTTCCACAATTGCATGCATGAAGCGCTTGAAATGCACTCCTATGCTTTACTGCTTTTTTCATGCTACTTTTTCCCCCATCAACACTATCAGAGTCATGATTCGCCTGTTTTAATATATTAATGTGATCAACGGAATTCTATTTCTACGATACACGATTAATATACGTATACGCACTCCTAGAACACATTCATGGCCAGACAAACTTTGTATTTCGCATTTTTGCCTTCCGCGTTCCCAGATACTGTAACATTCTTGCCGTAATTTTGCGGCATAATCTTGTATACAAGGTCCACGTGCAGATGACATATAGGATTTCATTGCATGATCCAGCTTTAATATATATATAATATTAAGTGATAGAAAAATGGTATATATAATTGATCGAATATCTTAATCACCTTAATTTCATGATATTGTTTAGTATAATATGTGGGTGATTCTAATAAATATATATCGATAGCTTTCCTCAACACTTGAGCACAATGACTAAAGTTGAAAAAAAAGGTAATATGAGATTACTCGAAAACATACCGATTCAGTGACAATACAATTTAAGTTTAGTTATATTACTTCGCAGAATATCGACTATTAACTTGTACGCAATCTTTTAATCTCCTATTAAGGGTATCATCGACAGCACTGAAACTTTTTCGCTCTAAAATTTCTTTTCCAAGTTTCCCAAATAATAATTCCTGTAGGGCAATACAACCTGCAATCCATTGCTTGGCATTCGGAAGCTGTGTTTAAAGGATATAACTTTTTTATTGATCTATTTCCACACAAGTATGTGGTAATATAGACTTACCTCGCTTGGTGCTATTCCACGCTTAGCAAAGCTTCTGGGATAACCAGTTGCGGCCCATTTTAACCAGCCAAGAGCAAAATCCTTCAATAACTTTATTTCAAAATGTTCAGTGTTTCTTAAATCAAGTTTGCGTCTGCGTAACAAAGATTCAATATCTATTTTTTCATTTTCATGAGGTTTTATGTTAGAGATAAAAGCAAAAGGTGGATCTGGTGATAATAAATTGCCCGTAGATCCACGTGTGATAAGATGAATAAAGAATTGAGAGGAAGGGGGCGGAAGTGTAAAGAGCTGCCGACTAATAAACGCATATCATATATATATATATATAAGTAAAATATAATATTTAATTATACTTTTAAATGTAATGTTAATTTACGATACCTATCAAATGATGCGTGCAAGTCACTAGTTTGCACAAGATGGCATGTACGAAATAAAAAGCGAATACGCGCTTGTAAGGCTTCTTTTATCCTTTTTATGCTACCCGAAACTGCCTATTTATGTGTATAAAGGAAATGCCATTAAAAAATTAACTCCATATTTCTGATATTTAAATAATTTTATCTTAAAAACTTTTTCAACTTGCTTCCGATTTATTTCCATCTATCATAGAGACAGTCGATAGTTGAACCTATAGGAACCAATGAGAGAAAGTTAATGAATGATCATAATTTGATAATGTATAAAAGCTCAATTTACCTCTTGAAATAAAAAAATTATGAATGGAACACATCTTCCAGGTGTCATCATTCCACCCTGAGAGGCTCCCGTTCGACTATTGCCGTTGTATCCACCCATGAATGATGTTCCGTACGGCAAAGGTATCTCTAAATGGTTCAGGCATAAATTAATGAAATTATTCGCGTGTGGCATAATGTGTCGTTTGACTGAAGACATGGTTCGAAGCAAGGAAACCATGTTGGAATCCAATTTTGATATTGGCTGTGCCAACTTTATAAAGCAATGTTATATATAGTTTTTAATTAAATGGAAAAAAGGTTTTTTTAATGGAAAAAAAACAAATACTTACCACCACCACATGAGACAACATAAATGCAAACACTAACATTCGTAAGCAAACATGCTCATCTTTCCAGATATGACTCTGAAATTCTTGCTTTTTATTAAAATAAAAAACAAACCCAATTTTATTAACTTACTGTATTAAGTACAAGTAAGTCATTTATTCAAAATTTACCTCATTTTCAATATTAGGTTGAACCTCTTGCAATAATTGCAAAAGCGTTTCAAAGTTGTTTATTGAATCCATTAAAAGATAAATCGTATTTTTTGACGGATCACAATGCATCCATAAACAATGCTAAAATATGCAGAAAACGCGTTATAATATACATTTCCCTTTTAAAAAGGAAATAAAAAAAAAAAGTGATATTGAAACTTTACATTTTTACCATTTGTTGCCAATAAAGTCGCTTTACTGGCTCGACAATCACAGTTTTTAACACAACAAGCCGACTAAAATTGTAAATTGTTATATTCGCAACTTTTCAAAGAACGCGTGATAATGCATGCAGTCATAAACATTTAAAATGTTCATTACCTGTCCAAACACATTCTTTTCAATAATTGCATTAGCAATTGAACTTATTTTTGAAGTCGTGTCATTCTGTGAAAATCCAATAAATGTCACAACGGACACGGTCGCAAAATTTTGAAATGTTGAAGTTTCGCATAGTCCTAATAAAAAGTACATATATTGTATCAACATTTACTCCATTAAATTACTGAAAATCTCGAAAATCTGGATAGTACTAACGATCAAACTTTCGTTTCAGGGTGTCAAGACTTGAAGATTCCTCATGGTTTATATCCTCTTCCGAATACATGGTACTGTCGTTCATGTAAAGCATAAATTACATTTGTATATATATGTTCTCCAATTGCCAATTGGGGATGGTTTCAGACGTCAATTTACCAAATTTATATAAAACCTGGCCTAAATTAACTTGTTTAAACTTATAGTTTAGGCCAGACGAAACTTAGAGGTCAGAAATTATAGGCTAACTTTCTTTTGATTGGTCAATCACTTACAATTGTATTTATACAGTTTAGAATACTTTTTAAGAATATAACATTTTTGCAAGCTAAAAATGAAAATTACGACCGTCTCTATCTTCAGTGAAGCTCCAACAGTTACTATGCAAAATAATCCAAAAAGTCCCTCAACCTAGAGGTGTTCTACTTAGAAGGGGGTTGTGATCAATCACGTGATATACTATTGTCTTGTCGACCATCAGCTTGGCTGTTTTTTTTGAAAATTTTATTCGTTATTATTTGAGTGTCGTCAAAAAAAGCCTGTCATCAGGCTTTCAATTATATTTTGTACCTCTAACAAATTAAACAGATTATGTTCTATACAAGATATAATTAAAAGCCCGATGACAGGTTTTCCTTTGACGGAGGTCGTCTAAAGCCAGGTAGTTTTTAAATTGATTACTAATAAATTTGTAAAGCAAAACTCACGTGACACGTATAAATTACTACCTGGCTTTAGACGATCCCTTTGACGGCACTCATTTATGATTCGCTCATATTGAAAAATATATAGAATCATAAAATTTATATTAAAAAATATGTACGTAACATCTCTGGTACGTAAAACATTTTTTAAAAAAATATGCATGTTATAAATACTCTATGAAATACAATAAAACATCTTAAATTCTTTACAGTTACATATTTCCTAACACATTACAATTCACATGTTTCTTAAAACATAGATTGCTTTTTTAAAGGTGTTCTACCATAAAATCCCGACATCTAAAATCTCGAAAACCATAATCCCAACATCACGCGGCGTAACAATTAATATTTAAAGATTAGTAATCACATTAACAATCATCGTCAGACTTAAATCTTAATTGTCACGTCGAGTGATGTCGAGATTATGGATTTCGAGATTTTGGATGTCGGAATTGTTTGGTAGAACCTTTAAAAGTATATTTATATTATTATTTAATGAAAAATTTCTACTACTCATATTAGTGTTATTTTTATTTTTATTTTTTTATTTTTTTTATGTTTAAAGGTCATACTTTATAATGGTTATTTTATTAACATATATTAGAATTAGTTATTACAATTACTTTTACAAAAATAAAAGTATAACTAGTCATGCATATAACTTTTGGTTAGGATTTTGCATTAGATGTCATATTTATAATCTATTAGAAAATTATTCATTTAAACTTTCTAATCATCTGTTTTATTAATTATTAAACTATTACAAATCCTATATATATACTTAATTAGTATGTTATCTAAGCAGCATAGTATTTTTTTTATGTATTGATACTTAGGTTATTACATATTTCAAAATATTTCACTTGTTAGTAAAGTTTAAAAAATCTTTTTTATTAATTATTTATCTATTCTATAAACTATTAACAAGAGTTTGTTTTTGTAAAGTTTGTCTGTATTTTAATATTTTTTTTTTTTTTGATATTAAGATGTTCTTTAGTTTTTATTAGTATATTTGTTATAGTTAGTATAATTTTATTTATATATTATCTATCATTATATATCTATTTAGACCTAGAACTTAGGCTTATTTATCTATGATCTAAACCTACCAAATTTTGTATTATGTCTTACTCACATCTAGGTTGAATTTTTGTTTCACTACTAATTATATTAAATAACCTGCATATTCTTTTTTTTTTTTTTTTTTTTTTTTTAAGTTAAAGTCCCTATCTTGGAAGTTGCGATGTTTTTATTCAAGTACATTAGGACACAGCATGCCACCAAGGACTCACCTTACATTGGAGGTTACAACTAGCCACACGTGCACTTTTGGTACCTAATTTAAGTAGTCCGCTTACACATTACTATATAAGTTCTACACTAGTTGTCATACCTGCAAGCCAACTAGGGGT